TTGAAATTGTTCCATTAGCATCGCTTTGAATGTAATTTCGTAATACTTATTTTAAATCTCATTTAATATACTTGCTTATAATAATATTATGTTATTCATCTCTTAGCTTCTTGAGATGTATAACACGTCAGATAAATAATCTATATATTCCCTTTATTACGATATCAATATATTCTAAAAATAATTGAATAAATGAATATTCAACATAGATATTGTTAAATAACAAGGCAAGGTAAAAACAAATGAAATTCTAAAACTGAATAATAAGTAAGTGAGATCACGCATTTTGGTTTAACTGATAAAGATCAATAGCTTAGCCAACTAGACCCGTCCCTTGGAGTCAACAAATTGTAAATTCTTAGCTTATAATCTTGAAAGCATATTCAATATTTGTGCGAAGAAATTATTATGATGGATGATTTAAAATCACTTTTCAAAAAGAAAATTCTCTGCTTTAAAACTAAAACGATTATCTGCACTCGCATGAACAGTACAATAGAAAAATGTTAATCATACAGTATATGCAATCAAAAGCTGAGGCATATGAATTCGAAATTGTATCAAGTATCATAATCAGGCACAATATCGATTGATCAGTTCAACTCATTTTTTCGCAAGCTTCTTGGTTATATCTACCTCTCCAGTTGGTATATAATTATCTGGTGACATGTCATGTTATATGAGATGTCAATATTATAATTGTGCAGATCAGCTTCGTCTTTTTTGTCATCGTACAAACAGTTTAATATTAAATATGAAATCATAAATACGAAATGTATATGATTTATATAATTTAGTTAATTTAGTTTTATCCTTTTTATGCTCTGTCATACTGTATCTTCATCTCATGGTGGCTATAATTATATATTCTCCTTAACGAATAACAAAAAAAAAAATTGGCAGAAGGCAACTTTTTCAACCAGTTGATTGAAATGCTTAATGGAAATTTGTCACCACCAATAAGTAATATGATGAATTTATTATTTGGAATAAACTATCTAAACGTACTTCTCAATATTGAATGATCAATCGATATCCTACTTTTTCAAACAAAGGTAATTGAACTTTTTGTTTATATTTTAGTTGGTTTGGTTAATCCTCTATTTTTTAAAGTCTCTTTTATTTTTCGAACTTTTCATTTTTACTTTTTATCTTTTTTAATGTTTTTTTGTTTTAATTTCGCAGCACATGTTATACTTTATTCTAACAGGGCTCAATAAAATTGTTGTAATTAAAAATGTAAAGACATATTGAACAAAATTTTGGAGTCTTGATTAATAAGTTGTTGATAATGAATTTTTTAACTATTATTCTTTCCTTCAACTTTGTGCATCCACGACACACGACACTTTCTATTCAATCGATTTGGATGAGTAGACAAGGTTATCAATAAAGTCAAAGAGTCAAAGTAATTTTACACTTACAGTATCACTTTTTCGGACATTTCTTTTTAAAATATTCTTATGTATTTCGTAGAACATGAGCATTCGTTAATGAAAACTTACCAACCGACAATCTTCAATTTCACATTGACTTTATATATATCTTTTCTATATATTTTTTTATAAAAGAGCTAACTATCAAAGAAATTTGCAATTAAATAGATCAATATTTTGACGAAATTTCAAATCAATACAATTCAATCATGGAGAAAACTTGAAGAGGAGTAATTAAATACAAGGCATCTTATAATACTTCGGAAAAAAACTTTCCCAATATTTTCCTTATATTCTCATAATTTAACAGGAGTGCTCTCCCGACGCGAAAACGTCAGTAAAATTGAGATTGTGGTGGAAATTCACCTGGAGCAGAGAGAGCCGGACGGTCTCATAACGTTCTTCTAACGAATACAAAAAATATATGCAACGATCGACAAAAAAAGGATCGATTTAAATTAAAAAATGTTTTTGTTATTTATTTTAGTTATTTTATTTTTTTCCTAAAATATTTCTTATTATTATATTATCTTCATTTTTACCTGGTCTGATTCGAAGTAAATATTTCATTCCTATCGATTTGCTTTAGGCTGTGATCTTTTATGATGTTGATTTCGTTACTTATCGTTGAACAGTTTAATTCAGTGATAATAGAAAATTTTTATTTATATATTTTCTCAAAATTTTACTTTTTTCTTTTTATTATTAGTTTCTATACTTATTGTTTATATCTCTAAATGCTGTTTAAAAGAAATTCTCTTGGTACTCACACAAAATAAAATTTTTAACATAAATTTTCCTTTAAATTCTTCTTGATTTTATGGTTAGAAAATTATAAATTTTAATTAAACAATCTAATTAATTATGTAATCGACTTTTTGTAGGCTGACTTAGGAAATTTAATAAGTAATATACTAAATAAGATTATTTATTTGTAACTTTGTTTAATGAATTTTAATTTTTAAATTAAAACAATACTATGATTGTCATCGATAATCGTATTTTAAATAAAGTTTGTTTTTAACTTATGTTGGCAGATGGTTACATTAGTCAATTGAATACAATAATTATATCATTTTCTACTTCGTTATATTAGGTAGGATAGTTAATTGTGCGTAAAATGACATCAAACTTAAGGGTATATTCACAAACCCGTTTATTTGGGAACGATATAATCCAAATTTCCTTTGGAAACATCTCAATCAACTTTCGAAAAAAGAATCGATCACTTTCGTCCTTGAAAATCGTTATAATTAAAATCTGATAATATAGCTTGCATTTAAAATCGAGCTACGAAAATATTAATTTAGGTCCGTAATATGATTTAATAGTAAACCTCCCATATATTTTTTTCAACATAACTTTATGGTTTGATAATAACACCATTGTACAACGCTATTTAGGCGAATTTTTTAATTTGAAATTCGAATTTCCGAATTATAAAGCCTTGTTTCTTTTTCACAATATATCAAATAATTTTAGATACTAGTGTAATGCTTAAAATATTCAAGCGTCCATGTAACCTGGATGATTTATTATTATTTTGTCATTTGGATTTATTATTTAAATTTTCTCTTTATTTGTTACCTTCACTTATTCGCTATAACTTTAAGCAAAGTAGAAAGAGATTGATATGCTCTTCTTGTCCCTAAAGTCGTATTTATCGTGTTGAACTTTAGTCTATACATATGGACCAAGTAAGAACCTTTGTTAGTAGTTTTGAATTCTCTTAAATTAATTTCACCTAATTTATAATATGCCGCAATATACAATAAATGATTAGATAACTAATAAAATATATTTAAATAGTAATAGCAAATATGAAGATTTCAGACGCAATGCAATGCGTTGATGGGTTCAGAGATTTACAATGGTTGTAAAAATTAGGTATATCTCAATAAGACTAAAATTATATACTGAACGTATGTAAACAACAAGTCACCATTATTGTAATTAACTCGAAAAAAGTCAAGTATCCAAAAAAAAAAAATCTGCATTTCGAAAACTATAAATGATATTCTTATAGAAAGTTAGGTTTCTAAGTCTTTTTATTCCGAAAATTAATAACTTTTGGTGGATTTATCCGTATATTTGATTTTTATTTAATCGGAAATGGTGTAAATAAAACTTCTTCACATTTTGAGTTATGTTAAACAAAAATTTTTTTTTTGCTTTATTTATGAGTAATTGTTCCAATGATTCCTTTGTTTGCTAATCTATCTTAATGTGATGAGATAAAAGAAAAATTTTACAGAGGATTGACGCCACCGGAATTCATGGTAAGGAAAGTAACAATTTATCAAGCTTCGTTGGAATATATGAAAGGAGAATAGAGAGATCTCTAAGACAGAATCAATAAAGACATCATCAACATAAGGATAATGCGGAACAAGAAGAAAATACTTTAATCAATGCAGGAAATACTCATCATATTCCTCATAGAACGTCTGAACTTTTACTTTTCTAGGACCAGGTCCCGAGACTGTGGTCCTATATAAATTGGGACTTGCGGTCCTAGAACTACAATCTTAATAATATACAAAAATTGGTCTACTAAATACAATATTAACCATAATAGTTCTTCTTGAACAATGGAGTATCGTTTCAATTAGAACGATGATGAAGCATCGTTCTTTTTGCTCGATGGAGTATCGTAGTAGTATCGTTCAATTAGAACAATGATGGATGATACTGTATACCGTTCTTCTTGAAAGATGAAGTATCGTCCAATTAGAACGATTATATCATTCTTCTTTGATCGATTCATCTGAATTTTTTTAAAATTGACATAGTTCTCTGACCGCAGTCCTATAATTTTAAACTGGTCCGGACTTCATAGGACCTGGTCCCATGCGACTTTTTAACATCCTTAATTATAAATGAATTTTTTTTAAAAGAGAAAAAAGTTAAATAAAAGCAGGAGTACTACTTTAATTAAAGTAATGTGATATTTTTTTTTGTTGAGAAATTCCTAAAAAAAAAAAAATTTTTTTATTTTGCACTAGTGTGACCTCATATCATAACTGCAAACACGATCGTTCCATACAGCAGAGCTCAGCAATTATAAATATTATTCAAAATTCAATTATTAACAAGAACAAAGCAATAAAAAGCAAAAGAAAGAAATAAATTAGAGAAAGCTTTTCTTATTACAAAAATGAAAAATTTTTACTTAAGCAGCTAGTTTTGTTGACTAAGCTGCTAAAGATAAAAGGACAGCTTCAAGATCTTAGAATTATTTCGTGGAAATTTACCAGAACTGTACTGTTAAGACATTATCCAATATTTCGAAATGATTTCGAAACACTTCATTCATGCGTTTTATTCAACCGATTTTTTTGTTGAATTACAATTCCTATACTTTGGGAAGGTCCTTTTCAATTAAATGTCGAAAAGGAAATAGGTTATAATTTTCTTGATGATTACTTTTCATATTTTAATGATGACGATAGAAAAAAGATTAAAGAAATACGGAATTATAAACAACACGTTCTATTCAATATATTTATAAATATTGATGCTTCTTTTTTATAATTATCAATAAGTCTAGATAGAGATTGCTTTTCAATTATCAAGCTTTATCAAATGATGTTAAATGACGCATAATTTATATCACAAGTTGAAGCTATTAACCTAAGTTTACCAACGACACCAATGAATTATCCAGATCATACACCTCATTTACATCTTCACCGTTATTAATACCTTCAATTAAACATCTAAGTATTTGTATTTATAAGAACAAATTATTTAGAGAACCTTTTACAATCACAAAAACAACTCACTTCACTTTATAATGTGAAGGGTATTGAGCTGATAGAATTATTGATGTATTGCTTTTATTCTTTAACATTGTTTTGTAATTTGATGGACTAAGAAATCTAACACAACTTAAATCACTTCATATCGATAAATGTACTGGAGTTACAAGTCGTTTCTTCAACCTGGAAATTCCCACCCGTTAAAATCAAATCGTTAAAATAATTGATTTGTTCTCAGAACTTATTTATTTATGTTCTTTTTTATTAGAATTTGAATTTTTTTGTTTTCGGTTGGTTGGTATTTTTCGTCCTTGATAACTTGGGATTGCAGTGATAGATGAAATTTTTCCATTATGTGGTAGGTTTCTATATCCTTTTTTACATTATTTTTTTGTTTTAGGTTCTTTTCGCAATGAAATGTCAGTTCGATCTACTGCTAGGGATGGGGACGGTTCCATCTCGGTACCTCTTCGGTTCTACTTTGGCTCTCCTAAAGTAAATTAGGGACGTCAAGTTAAATTTATACTAATAGAGCATGTGATGTTGAAAAAATTTTTGACGGGTTATCAGCACATAATTATCTTTATTTGATGACGAAACGATTTTGAGCCGACTCTTTTATGCTAGTCCGGTGCCGGTTTCGGTTCGATTTTTAAAATTGGTAAATTCAGTTTATGCTGAATTTAAAATCGGTTCAGCACCGACTCCGTCACATTCATATCAGCTGCGAAGCTTTTAATTTATTATTATTATTATTTTGTTAACTGGGGTTCTTATTTCATTTTTTTTTGTACGATTTCTTTGGGTTGGATCGTTGCGGGTCGCAGCAATTGTCGTTTTTTTTTTAAAAAAAAAATTTCATGGTTCGATAATATACTAATTTATAATAGGTGGGCCTTAACTTCTTTCGCAATAACTTTTTTCCTTGATTATCACCATTGGTTATTTTATTAATTACCAATAAATGTTGTGCCTCGTATACGTCTCACATACATACTTCGGTAAGGTCTACCTTGACAATATGTATTACTATTACTGTATATGGGGGCTAAGCTATTAAAATCACCTTACGGGACCCCAACAACCAAAATTGAGATTTTTGATTCATATTATTATATGATATATGAACTTTATTTGGTTAAGTTTTTATAGTCAATTATCTTATTAACAAAGCAAGCAATCATTTTTTGTGTAACATAAGTCAAAAGTTTCGGGCCTTTCAAAATTTTTTAACTTTAATTAAAACCATTATTAATAGTTTGAATGTGTGTTTGAATGGGGGGTCTAGGAGGCAATTAATACCCCAGCAAATATTTTTTTTTAAAAAAAAATAAAAAATAATTTTTTTAATATATAAACTTTTTTTAATAAATTAGTGTAACAATGTCCCATAGGGTGATTTTAATAGCAAAATCTCAAGTGGTACAAAATCGATTTTTAAGTATCATAAAATTAGCATAACAATAGCCCGTAGGGTGATTAATAGCAAAATTTCAAGTGATACGAAATTGATTTTAAGTTTTACAAAAATTAGTTCTGTAAAATAATTTTAAATAATAAATTTTATATATTTTATTATAGCAAAATTTTAAATAATAAAAATTTTAAATAATAAATTTTAGTATCATCTTAATAATTAATTCTACTTAATATTTAAAAATAGAATAATTTATTATTGGTTAAATTATCATTTACTCAAAATCAATTTCTTATCCCGTAAGGTGATTTTAATAGCTTAGCCCCATATTCTGTCATCATTATACAAGATAATTTTAAATAATTTTTTTTTTTAAAAAAAATAGGCTTATTTTTTTATTATAAATTATAACAATGTCTAATAATAATTATAAAAGTAAGTATGTAATAAAGAAACTAAAAATATTTTTATCAAAAAATAAAAAGAAATAAAAGATATGAAGTTTCGTATAAATGCAGTTTGATAATATTTTAAAATCTTTTTTTTTTCATGAATTTTACATTTGAGCTAATTTCAGATGCTAAAAAAGCTTCCTCATTAGAAGGTAATATATATCATTAATTTACTCATTTTTTGTTTGCTAAAAATTAAATTTTATCAAATTCGAATACAGAATCAGTTTCAGATACTCCTATATTAGAAGAATTAAATAGTAAATAAGTGTTATCTATTATTTATTTATAATTATTTTATAATTAATTTTTTTTTAAAAAAAATATTTAATGCTTAGATTGTAAACCATATAATTATTATCATATTTTAATTTATATAATTAAATTATTATTCAAAAAATTTTAATAATCAATAATATTATCATTATAGGGTATAAATTATTTATTTTTTACATTTAATTTAAACTTAATTTATTATATAAAAATTTTTAATGATAATTAACGATATTTCAGATTTATACAGTATTTATAATTTTTATTTAATATTTATTATAATTTATAATATAATAAATAATTTTAAATATATATTATTTTTAAATTTATAAAATAAACTATTAAAAATAATATTTTTAAAATTATTTTAAAATAATTATTATATTAAATTTTTAAAATTAAAATCTTCTTTTTTTAATTAATAAGGTAAACTAATTCAATAAACTTAATTTTGCAAATTTTTGAATAAAATTAATTTGTATATATTTAATAAAAATTATTAATAATCTTATTTTTACTTAATTTATAAAAAATTTAGATTGTAACAAATTATATTAATTTTATGAATTTTTCTTAAATATCTTATTTTAAAATAATTATTATATATTTTATAAATTCATTTTTTTTTATATTTTTTTATAATATATTATATATTTATATTAGTTTAAAAAATCTTAAGAAATCTAAAATATTCAAATATAAAAAAATTAATTTTCTTTTAAATATTATTTTATTAAAATTTTTTAAAATAAGTTTAACTTTCTTTAATCTTAGATTTAAATTAGTTCAAAGTTTAGATTTTAAATTAAGAAATTTCTAATTTTTAGATGAATTTTTATTTTAAATTTATTTTTATTATGTATAAAATAAAAAAATTTAGTGTATAAATAAATTATTTTTATAATTATATTATTATACATTAATAAAGTCTACAAGAATTAACATTTGCAAATACATCATAAATTTTTATCATATCCTTTTTGTATAATTTATAGAATAATGCACAAATTTCAAATGAAAATTTAAAAAAATCTAAATCTCATATGATTTAGGATCGCGTATGATGTAAAATTAACGTATAGTTCACCTTATTAACAGTTGGTATATTTAACTTTATAAACCTTTCATTTCTTTTAATTAGTTAGGTAAATATTTTGAATATCTAGATTTTGAGTAGCTTTTAAAATTATCATTAATATATGTTAATTCATACAAAAATGATGAGGATATTCATCTTCAAGTAGAATATAAATGTGACTTTTTTTTCTACAGATAAACAATATTTTAAAAAAATTAATATGAGTAAGCCAAAATAATTGTATACTAAATTATTGTATAAACTCAAATTGTATATTGAAAAAAAAAGATTAACAGATTGATATATAATATATGAAAAACTCCTAACATTGCACTCCTTAATCACAAGGTATTGTTATTTTAGACTATATTTCAGTTATGTAGTACCTTTGTGCTACTGTTACATTATTTCCATTATCTAGTTGGTTAAAAATTAACCAGTATTAGACCTGGAATCATCTCAAACTAAGCTAACAAAACTAATAAACTAAATGACACAATTATCTCAAAGGCTTTTTCTAAGAGAAATTAATGATAAACGAATAAAACAATTTATTATCATGATTCACTTGTGTAGTAGGTTATCACGATCAATCCTATGATGAAGACAAGAAGAAGGTTAAAAGTGTAAAATAGTAACTTTATTAACTGTAGAGTTATAAGTCTAGTCCCAAGACT